CTCAACATAAGGGTTGTGCTTAAAATACTAAGTTCTTTGATGGTGCATCTTCAAAGAATATTTAATGGCCTTAAACTTCAGACAAACAGCTAAGAGATAAGATGACAAGATAAACCTACTTGGCAAAATACATATACAGGCATGTCCCTGGTAAAGGTTAAGCGCAGCAGTTCGAGCTTGTAACTCCCAGGGCCATTATAAACTTAAGTTTGAACTTGACCTGGGAAACTCAGACTGGCTCAAAATTTAAAAAAAAATTATAAATGCTGGAGATTAATGTATTAATACTATCCCTTAGTTACTGGAGACTGATCAGGCCCAAAATCACAGCAAAGGTTTAAATAAGAGTCAGGTCAGGCTTGGTGGCTCTTGCCTGTAATCCCAACACCTGGGAGGTTGAGGCAGGAGGATCTTGGAGAGCTGGAGAACAGCTTGGGCTACTAAGTGAGCTCAAGACCAGCCTGGACTGCACAGTGATACTGTTAAGGCTTGTATATTGATTACTGTGGGGGTGGGTGCTGCACCTGCCCCGCCCCAGAGAATCTGCATTACTAGTGAGGATGGGAGAGAGGCTAGAAGGCTGCCTGAGCTGCTGCCGCTCCCTTTTGCTCTCTGCTTTCTGCCATGTGCCGCTCTGCCTTGGAGCCAGCCGAGTAGGGACTGAAACCTGCGCAAACTGTGAGCTAAATAAACCTTTCCTTCCTTCATTTTGGGGGTTGGGTATTTGTCCCAGCAATGAGAGAAGAGTAAATGAGGCAGAGACCCTGTCTTAAAGAGAGAGAGAGAGAGAGAGAGAGAGAGAGAGAGAGAGAGAGAGAGAGAGAGAATATAATTTAATTTTAGGGCTCCAGGAGAACCAAAACCCCCTTAAAGGAATGTGAGATGTGAGATTCTCTGGGGGCTAAGACCAAGACCTCTGGGAGGCCCATATTTATTTAGTTATCAAACTAAAGGAGGGGAATACTGAAGAAAGGCAGGAATCCGAGTAGGTCCTTGGACTTCTGCTCAAGGGCTTCTCCAAGTAAGGCATCATGTTTTAGGAGGACTATGTTATCCCCAGGAAGGCCTTCACCCAGGGTGAGCTGCCCGCAGCTACGGTCATTATCTAGTTAGTCCGCGTTAGAGCCACACATCTTTGGCTGTGCCTTGTCTTGCCCTTTGTGACATCGGGCATCACAGTCCACCACAGGCCTCAGCGAGGACCAGTGACTCAGAATTTCCTTTACTCTGCGTCCAACACCATCTCCAGACAAGGGTCTTAGATCTTGGACAGACTCACAAGTGAGCATGGAAAGCCAATCGGCTGATTTAAAACCTGCGCAGAGCTGCTTTGTAGAGGTCTACATCAGGGGACGTAGCTGTGTGCTCCCAGGCTTCCGTCCCTAGAACTGAAACAACAACAAATCAAACACAAACAAACAAACAAAAAACCAACTCTCAAGAGCTGGGATGAAACTGAGGCCTGGGTTCATATTCATTATAACGATCGATCGCGGGGTGGGAATACTCTTTTTATTTTTTGATGCTGGGGACTGAGCTCACACATGCAAAGCCAGGCGCTCTCCCACCAAGCTACCCAGTGTGATCCAACAGTCCATCAAGTGCTTCGACAGTATTTTAAAAAAATGTTACAACTTTGCCATTGTTGTAGGCAGCTAAATTAGATAGAAATATTATAGGGAGTCAGACAGGGCTGGGCCCTCAAGGAGACAAGATGGAAGACAAGATCTTGCAACTCCGAGACAGACAGACAGACACTCCAGCTGTGGGCCAGACCTCTAGATAAAAGATCAACAAATGCTGGCCTCCCTAAAGATAAGCATCCATTGATGCATCACCTTGAGGAAGCCAGGAAGTCCCTAACCCAACCCCCTACAGGATGAGCCTCTGGTCTATGTTCCTGCCCGTTTGCTATGTGACTTGCTCCCCCTCACCATCTTTTTTTTTTTTTTTTGTATTGGGGACTGAACTCAGAACCTTCTGCTTCCAGGGAGGCACTTATGCCATTGAACTATATCCCAGATCTTGCTTTTCCACTTGGTCCTGGATTTAATCAATTTTACCTGAGCAATTGTGCTTGTGATCTCTTTGGGTGACCATCGTTTGTCCCATTTCATGCCCACCTAGGGAGTGCACCTGCCTCACCTTATGGTTTTGCTCTATAAAAATTCCTGGAAAAGAAATTCCTGGACAACCCACTTAGGCTCCCTTACAGAAGCTTTCTTTCCAGTATTCTGCTCTTTACCGCCCTTGTTCCTAAACTTCATTCTTCACTTTTAGCCAACACGAACTCGGCCCAGGTATCTTTCAGGATGGGAGTCTCATTCCCCTGTATCGCCACGAGTCCCTCCACAGTCTTCCCTTCGGCTTCACGCACACCTACCACGACGCACTTGCGCCCTCGTTCCGAGTGGCTTTCGGCTGTGGTGTCCTGGCTGCCGCGATGTGCTCCTGAGCTGCTTCAAAATGTTCACCTGTCCTGGTCACACTGACTTTAGGAAGAGCCAGAAGTCCCGCGATGCCAGAGCTGGAAAGGAGGTGGAGGAGGACTCGCATTGCCGCGTTATGAGCGGCCTTTCGTTGGGTGGGACTCAGTAGTGATATGGGGACGGGAAATTCCCAAGCTGGCCTGAATGAGTTCGTGTTCTCGAAAACCGAAGAATGAATTTTAGGAACAAATGGAGGTTGAGGGTAAAACTTTATTGGAAAGGAAAGCTTCTATCGGAGAGGGACAGAAGGGGGGCCCGAGCAGGTTGCCCAGGAAGCCGTCTCCTTCAGGTTATTTTATAGGACAAAACCATGCGGGGCTAAGGTAGAGACAAAGGGGTCCCGCTTAGGCAGATACAGGGTGGGACAAAACTATGGTCAACCAATGGGATTACAAGCACCATTGCTTAGGTAAAATTTATTAGGCCTAGGACCAAATGGGGTAGCGAGTCACAAGTGGGCGACCTTATCTGGTGGCCTTCAGTCAATGATTCTTCCTGACTAATGAGCAATCCTCCAACTTTAGGGAGGTCAGCATTTGTTTGATCTTTAGGTCTGGCTCACAGCAGCAGCATCTCCCCAGTAAGCTGTCTGGTCTTTGTCATCCCCTTCGAGGGCCTGTCCCTGTCTAACTACCTACAATATTTCTACCTAACTCAGGCTGCCTGAAACAGTAGCAGCAGTCACTGTATTTTTAAATTTTTTAATTTATTTTGTGTGTGGCCAGCTCAGCCCACCAGGGGGCAGCGCTGGCTGGCATGTGGTGCTGGGGGATTGAACCGCGGTCCCATGCTTTGCTGAGCTTGTTCTAAGTGGGTGCTTTAGACCACTGAGCCATCTCACCAGCCCACTGTATTGTTCTTAATTACATCTGGGAAAGAGGACTTCCAACACTTTCAGAAAGCGCCAAGAACGATGAGATGTGCTCAGGGGACTACCTTGAGAGGGATTAATGGCTTTATGTCTTACTTTAATAACTTTTTGCAAGTTTTAAACATCCACTGCCTATTTTGATCACCCCTGTGTGTATCCTCCCAGCCCTTGTTTAATTTTTATTCCTCATAATTTCCCATAATAACAAATTGCAATTTTTCCTGAGAAAAACCCCCATATAATGGAGAACTGAATTGATCCTTGTTTGGTTACAATGACTCAGCAAGCTCGGGGGTTGGCTCTCTGCTGCCGGGGACGTTCTGGGGCAACTTCGGGTCTGCATCCGGGCACCTGTAAAGATGAGGGGCAATACCCTCGATTATCTGAGGTCTTCCTACTGCTGTTTCCACTGCCGTGCTAAGCTTCCCGCATGGTTGTGGGGAGCTCAGGCTGGCTCTTGGGCTGCGACTCCGGGGGCTCCGTGACCCCGTGCCGCCCGCACCTACACCCGCTCATCCCGGTAAACCGAAGCAGTGCCGCAGAAAGTGCTTTGTGCTCGCGCGTCATCCGCCAGCTACCTATTTACACAATCCTGTGTACTTCACCATGCACAAGGCCGTTCGCAATTAGCAAACACTTCAAGTGGCTCCAAGTTACAGTTTTTTGTTTTTTGTTTTTTTTTTTTTTTTCCAGTGTGTTCCTCTTTATTCATTTTCAGAGTACAAACTTAAACTTGGATAAACTGAATTAACCCAACCCACCTCTGGCAGGTACACTCAACATGCTGTATAAAGTGTAACATTCAATTTATTATTTTTCTCAAGAGTTTTCTTCAGTCCGTTGACTCAGCTCCCCTTCCATGGGCTTTGGTGGAGGTCGTGGGGCAGCACGAGCAGGTCTAAATCGGGGTGGAGGAGTTCGGTCCTTGCGGGCTTCACGGGATCGATTTCTGACCACTTTGCTGAGATGGCACAACTCACACAGTCATGCAGCTTCACATCCAGCTTGGGAAGCACATAACCGTCGAAGACACTCGCTTCGGAAATGTCCCTGACGGCGGCGGCCTCCACTATGTTCCGAATGACAAACTTCTTAATAGCCTTATCCTTGGGTACGCACCGGGCGCAGTTCGTGCAGCGAATAGGCTGCACATGACCGCGGCCCTTTTTTGGCACGACCGTTGTTCCTTCTTTTTTTCGTCATCTTGGAAAATAGGACCCGAAAACCAAGTTACAGTTTTTTGAGCAAAGTACAACTGCAGGTATCTGACCTCCACATTGCGGTCAGAATCCTTTCAAAGGAAGTCGTACAACAGCAGGTAAGGCATGTGCCAAAAAGGAACACTGCGAGCCAGCCAGGAGTCGAACCTAGAATCTTCTGATCCGTAGTCAGACGCGTTATCCATTGCGCCACTGGCCCCGTGCTGAATGACTGTGCACAGCGATGCTAGATCGCTTCTGACGCAGCTTCAGCCGACTTCCGGACACCAGCATTCCTTTGCGCCCGCACACTATCGCCGCTGCGCCTGCGCACAACTTTCGGGACTCCGCCTCTTCATAGACCAACGCTCGCGACCAATCCGCGGCGGATACGTCACGACGCTCCTTGACACGCTCTTACTCATCCAGTCGGAGGACGTTTCTCACATTCCCTGCCTTGCACTCGTTTGTCCCTCGCCGCGTCCCGTTCGCGCCTGTTCTTTTCCGCGGGGCGGAGAGACTGGTGGGGAGAGCCGGGAGCTGCGGCCGCCGAGGCTGGGTGACCGGTTGTGCGGCTGTCCAGGTGGCGGCGCGGGGTGGGGCAGTCGGAACCAAGAGGAAGGAGGTGCTGGTGCATGATGGCGGCGACGACCTACGAGCGGCTGAAGCTGTGAGTCCCGCGGACCTGGGGCGTGGGGACGGCGGGCGGGAGCAAGCCTTGGTGCTCGTCGCCCGGCCCTGGTCGCCGCCACCCCGGCCTCGCGCCCGTGCGACCTCGCACCCCCACGCGCCTGCCGTTTGCTGGCGGAGAGAGGCGGCCGCACTGACCCACGTGGGGACTTGGGGGGCAGAGGAGGTCTCCTCGGGGTGCGTGGACCCGGGCCCGCACCTGGCGCCCGCGCACCGTCCTGCGCCTTGGTCGGCCCGTGTGGGCGCAGAAGCCTGCTTCTCCTGCCTTAGGTTGCAGAAAAAGTTCCCAGTCGGCGCTGAAAGTCCTGAAGGAGTTTGCTGCGGTTCAGATTTTATCAAGCAGGCGCAGTCAATGTTGACAGCCAGAGGCCCATCGAGTTGGGCCATGCGAACGCGCTTCGTAGGAAAGCCAAGAGTTTGAGGCCTCGAGAGACGAGCCCCGGTGGCGAGAGGGGTAGAATTGGTGTTAGAGGGGACTTTGGCTCGTCCCTGGTAGATAACAGCGTGCATTTATTTCTCGGCGTTATCCTTAGCTTCTGCGCTTCTCTTGGCTGTGGATAGTTTTGTTCCGCAAGGCTTTTTGAAAGTTTGGTGGCTACTGAGTAGGAATATCTCCAAGTAAAATATAAGTTTTTTTAGATATGATTTCTAAGAGGCTTAGTGATCCCTGTGTGAGTTAAAATATCCTGGCACTTGGGCACAGATATCGTATTTCTCTTGCAGGCAAATGAGGACCTAAAAATGTGGTTTGGGCACTTCTGCCTCCCAGAACCCAAGGCGCACTGGGAACTTTCTGAAAGGCGCCATGCGAATTAGGGTGCAAACGCGGGAGCGAGGACATCTGCTCCTTGTCCTGTATTCAGCAGAGAGAGAGTGACGATCACTTTTCCGACTGTTCTCACCGTTTGCCTCTTCCGTTCGTAACAGTTCTCGAAAACCCGTCCGCATGCTTCCTGCACACTTTCTCCACCTTCCCTTGTTCTCTCCCGTTGCCCTCGTGAGCTATCACCTTGTTGGTGAAAGAGTTGAAGGAAAGTTTCTTCTCCGAGGTCACTGGCTGGGCCAGTTTCTTGAGTGCTTTGCTGGCGAATAGGTCATTGTCATCTATCTGATAAGCACTAGAGGGTTTAATGTGATCCTGCAGCAGGTCTCAGTTGTGTTTAGGCAATATGGAGCCTTGGCTTGATGCAACTCGGTGTTAGGTTGCAGGATGTAGTTGACCCTTCCTGTGGTAAGGATCGAAAAGATGGAGAACTTGAGGATTATGATGAGCCTTTAAATTATTACTTTGTGAGAGTTTGTGAGATTTGGTGTTGTTACGTAGCTCTAGCCAGCTTTAAACTCGTGGTGATCCTTCTGCTTCAGTCTCCAGGGCCTGGGATTTAGGCTTGAGGCGCCACACCTGGCTGATGATAGTTTTTGAGCTTGGTAATGGGCTAAATTTGATCAGGCCAGACCTGAGAACAAGCACCTTCTATAGTCATAAAAAAGAAAAAAGTTTGGTTCTTAAGTGGTGAGGGTGATGCTTTTGTGTTGATTTTTGATTTTGTGAGAAGTGGAAACTAAAATTTGAGTGAAAAGTGCGGAGTTATGTGAAAGTCATTTGCTAATCTAGCAGTCCTTAAGTTTTGAGTGCTTCTGTAAGTGTGAAGATATCTCTTTTGGCATATTTATTTTTCTTCACCAAAAGGTTTGTGACATGGAATCTGTTTATTCTTTTGGCCTGGCTGTTCAAGTTTTTATTTTTATTTTTTTATTTTTTATTTTTTATTTTTTTTTCTTTTCAAAGTTTTATTGATAAACATAAAGCAATGAGACAGTTTCAAATCAAATCGAAAGTACAGTTTCAACAAATAATACACTGCATATATTCTTCTTAGTGGTTAATTGCTGTACAAGATGCAGACTTGTGATCCTACTTACAAACACCATTAGAAAAAATCATTCTATTCATTAAGAGAATGCATGTTCAAGTTTTTAAAGGTAGCCACTGATTAGGAGCTTTTTTTTTTTTTTTTTTTGGTGGGGGTAAGGGGATGCATTTGGAGGTGGGATTGATTGCTGACCTACATAAGAATTGTTAGGACGTGGTAACCATTTTTAAATATCACTGGAGGGGTATTTTAAGGAAGAGCCATACAAAGAGAAAGATGGATTATTTTATTACCAATATATTGCTACATGATGTTTTTAAAATTTTATTTTTATTTTTTGTTTTTGGTGCCAAGGACCGAACCCAGGGCTTCCAGCTTGCTAGGCAAGCATCCTACCGCTAAGCCAAGTCCCCAGCCCCTACATGTTTTAAAATGTTGACGATGTTGCTGTGCTTAGGATATTAAAATCATGCTTTTTCTACATTATGTCATACTTTTTTTCCCAGTCCATCTCTGCTGTGCTGAAGTTCACTTCCCGCATCCTGATTTCATCCTCTACCTCCCCTTCTTCAATTTCCGCTTCCAGTGTATTCGCCCTATGCAGTCAAGCCCACATTTCTTTAGCCATGTGCATTCTGGTCTCTGCAGTCTACTCCCTTTTTTCCCCAGTTCATGCCCAATGCTCACCCCTTTCTACCAGACTTGGCTCCCCCCCCCCCAAGTAAGCTAATATCTGTCCTTTTACCCATTCTGCGTTCTTCCTTGCTCCTGTCTGTACATGCTGCAGCCTTTAAGCCAAACTGAGAAGTTCGCATCACGGAATTGGACACCAAATGTCTGTATGATGTATAATTCTGACTCTTAGCATCCAATTGCCAGTGGACATGAGGACTGGAAGCTAGAGTGATCAGCCTGTACTACTGTATGTGAGTCACTTCTGCTGCTGCCTAGAAATGATAGTCATCATGTATACTGTACTTTGTTTCTCTGGCCAGGTTGCAAAAATCTAGGCTATGTCAGAAGCCCCTACTGCGGCTTTCTTTTGTGGTCCTCTTCTGCACTTAGCATGAAGTTCTACACAGAGCCAGTCCCTCAGTGGAGTTCCTGACCGACCAGCGCTTCAAGAGCAACACGGTCTGGAGTAATTTGCAGTGTACTCCTCTGAAGACACAGAGGCTTACAGCATCTCATGTATTTTACTGTCATCCCGGTGCCTCTCTCAAATCATGGGTTGGTATATATCCTCTGTCACTGTTGAGGACAAATAGGTGCCTTTGGTCACACTGTCAGGTCACACAGGCGAGCTGTAGCCGAGCTGACCTTGGAGCACAGCTCTTCTTTCCATTACACTGCATTATGTCAAATAATCTCTCTGTCCTCCCGGATTGCTCTTGCTTTGGTCCTTGGACATGCCAGGTATAGAAATGAGTCACTTGTAATCAAAAATAGTTGACATCTCCATTTGGATTTTTAATATGGGAAGTAGAATATTGATTTGTTTGTATTTAAAATTTTTAAAAAAAAATTTTTTTTTTTTTACATTTATTTAGTGTGTGTGTGTGTGTGTGTGTGTGTGTGTGGCCAGCTCAGCCCACCAGGGGGCGCGGCTGGCTGGCATGTAGTGCTGGGGGATCGAACTGCGGTCCCTGTGCTTTGCCGAGCTTGTTCCAAGTAGGTGCTTTAGACCACTGAGCCATCTCTCCAGCCCCTGTATTTAAAATTAATACTTTTTACCCTTCCAGGCAGTTCCAGATATCCTGTCACAGTGCAATTAGACTCAAATTTTATACATTTTATAAAATTTTTATACATTAAGTTTTTCTTATTCCGAAGATGGGCTGGAACTAGGTATAAGGCAGGGTTGTGTTTAGGTACTGAGTCAGGTGACAGCTTGCTCTGAGGAAATACTGTTTCCTCAGGAGGGTGCTTCTTCTAGGACAAGATCGCTCTGTGTGCAGTAGGGCGGATGTGATGCAAGCAGAGAAGCGGCGGCGTCAGTGGGACCTGGGTGGTTTGAAGAGGAGAGAATTAAAGTGAATTAGCTTCCTACGGACACCAGCTGGTTTGCGGGTTGGGTTGGACCCCTGATGGCCTGGGCCATAAGAGACACCTAAAGTGGGGTTCAGTGACAGGAGTGCTACCAAACCCAAAAGGAGGGTGAAAGGGGGTAGACAGCTTATAGGTGGAGTGGCTTAAGGATCCTTTAGGTCTTAATTTCTACTAGAAAAATCTAGTAAAATGTTATGCCTGCCTGTCTCGAGAGGGCGGAGGACGCTGCTAGCCGAGCCACTGGAGCCGACTTACTGGAATACATTTTTTAATTTAAGCCTTCACTGTATTTGATTGCCTCTCAATGATACAAGTGTTTGTGACAGTTTCGGTCCTGAAAAAGTGTGTCCTCACCCACCACATTCACTGGCATGGTATGACTTCTAGCTTTTCCTCAAAGTCAAAGTGACCACTACAGATTAACATTTTGAATACTGTAACTAAGGACATTGAAGCAACCAGGACCCCATAACTAAAGACACTCGTGAAAAGAGTGCTGCACAACTGCTGCAGAAAATGGCACAAACGATGGGATGTATGTTTGACGCAGAGGGGAGGTTTATTTTGTTTTATTTTATTTTTTAATGTATTTACTGTAGGGTCTCGCTATACAGATTGGACTTGTAGAGATCCTCCTGTTGTCAGCCTCCCAAGCGCTGAGACTGCAGGTTGCACCCCCATGCCCATGCCCATGCTCAGTCTCTCTCTCTCTCACTCTCTTTCTTTAATTTAGGTTTGTTTTATTTAAGTTTAATGTTAATTCCATGCTGTGTTTCAGTAAGAACAATGCAGAGTCTGTACCTGGCTCCAGTCAGATACCCAGTAGTGCAAATTAGCTTCAGGTTACACATACTGAACAAAAGAGGTGAGCAAGGGAAGGGGGGAGGGGGCAGAGGGAGAGGGAAGACACCAAGACCTGAACACGCATGCAGGCTTTTCCATGCCACCTTCAATGCTGACCTGCTTCAGAGGGAGAGTAAAGCAGGCAAGAATGGGCAGCCACGGGTTGTTGATCTGTTAGCAGCACCATGCTTTCCAGCAACACTTCAGCAGAGCT